TCAAATTTTTAACATGGATGCTAATCCAGATAAACGTCCAACTGCTGAAGAAATTTTGAGATTATTGGAATTTGGAAAGATTCACTTGCAAAAAAAAACAACAGGATGAATCAATTAGAAAAGAGTATGATAAAATGGTCAAAATATAATTTGATCCTTCAACAATTACTGCAGTAATTCATCCAAATGCAGTTTATACTAACAGATTATTAAAATTTACAAATCTTCTCCGACCTATGAATTCCAATAAAGTAACAATTATTGGTAATAATAATGGTAATAATATTCAATCATTGATTATTTTCATTTTTATTAATCTTTAAAATTAACAATATTTATTAATATTCACTTTTGTGATAAATATCTTGTAGATTCTAAACAAATTTAATTAGCTATATAGATGGATTACTCAAATAATTGATTATTTATTTTTATTTATCTGGCTACTATAGTTGTGATATTAAATATTTTGAGAAATGAAACTATATTTAATAATAATATTATAAAGGTAATAACTTCTCACAATTATCATATATATGGTCATTACATGTCAGTATTTTTTTCCTCTACATATCTTTTAAATTTATGTAAAGTTGGTTTTCTTCTATGATCAAGATTAATAACAAGGAAAATAAAAAGTAAATTACGCTAAACTTTGACACCTAGGTGACTCATCACATTTCTAAAACTTATTTGGCACATAAAACAAGTGCAACAGAAAATCAAATGGAAAAAAAAATAGAACTTGAATTGAAGAAATAACCATCATCACTTAAAAGACCAAATTTCTTGAAGATTTTTATTTGGTCAAAAATATTGTTGTTGATAGAGATTTATACATTACCGTAAATAAGTAATTCGTAATTGACGTAATTAATTACCACTTTCACTCTTTAAAAACGTAATTGCGTAATTAATTACGGGCGACGAATTAATTACTATGTAAATCATTGTTAACACTATACATGGGATGGTAATTGCCTAATTGCCATAAGTACATAATACGTAATTATCGTAATTAATTACCATTTTCCTTTTTAAAAACATAATTATGTATTGCGGACGACGAAATTAATTATGAATAACAACGAATTAATTATTGGAAATATCATAATAC